AAAACTGTTTTAAAAAGATACCGTAATTGACAATACGTAAAATCGTGTATTTTTTATAATAAAATTAGGTTACTTCTGTCAACATTCGGAAAAAAATATATATAAAAATATATTCAGTACATAGAAATAATGCTGCATCGTCAGCAGTTTAAACAGTTTATTATTTGTTCAAAATTCTGTAGCACTCATCTCCCACTGTTTCTTAAATATGAAACTCTGGAATTCTAAAAATTGAGGAATAATGGTGTTAAGCAAACATGATTGAAAAAAAGATAATACAATAGATGTGTACATATTCTAAGGTTCGGAAGTCTTGTTTTTCCGAAAACCTTAAGCAAATTTCATTCCTAAACAACAATCTAATATCTTATGGTTAAATTACGTTTTCAGAACAGATTCTATTTGTTTTTATTTTTTTTACAGAGCTGCATGCATATATAACAGGGACACAGAAAACGTAAATAACTAAAAAATTCGCTTACAAAATTCGCTTAACTCAATTTGAACTATTTCCAATAAAACCTCTCCACTACATCCCAATCACACCTCACCTTCTCTCCGTTCTTTATATTCCACTTGTTTTATCCATTAACCTATCCCATCCATCACATGCTGTGTAATCTATTCATGTTTTTTTTTTTAGTTTAAAGATTTCCGGCTTGAATTCCCACAACAACAGTACTCTATTCAAGGCAATAATAGAATTGAAACAATTGAAGGTACTCTCCCTAAACGTTTAACAGCAGTCGGTATTTTGCAAGTTTACCAAAGTTTTTTGTGTGTTACTATCATTAAAAATCAATTTTCACTTTCTTTCCAATTTTTTTTTTTTGTTTTTTTTGCAACAATTACTTTTACTTTATAGTTAATAATACTATAAATTAATATGCAAACTTTGTTAGCGAAAAAATAAAACGAATAAGAAATAATAATTGTAATAATAATAATAATATTGGATGTGTAGAAAATTTAATTTTAATGGTTCATTCATTGGATTAAAAATTAAAGCAGGTTGACCAAAAAAATAACAAATTAACTTCTATTTAACGAAATATTCAAGAAAATTATGTACAATCAAATCAAAGCGATTGTTAACGTGAAAAGGTTTTCCAAACTTTTTTATGAAATAAATAAAAAAATTTATTAGAAAGTTACTTGCATTATTCGGGCGTTTACTTACGATGATTATTTTCTTTTTGTTGCAAACCAATTAAAATTTAATCGGTTATAACGACAATATTTGCTGCTACAATAGGTTGAAGAAGCGTTGTATAGAATATATGTAAGGAAAAAAAATGCATGAAACACATAGAATCAATTTCATGATGTACACTTAAGTGTTGATTTGACACTTAAATGAAATTTTGTTTAATATAATGTACTATTTTAAGCTCTAATATTGAATACTTATTTAAATCACTAAGTGTCTATACTGGCTAACCTTTGTCAAGGTTTTTTTGTTCGAAAGCGAATACGTAATATTTTCAGATTACGTCTAGAACAAGCATTTATACGTACGTTTATGTTACTGAAAAAAGTGAGGCAGTTAGAAAATATGTGTTGCTAAAGTCTAGCCAGTGTAAACACTGAGTTACTGTGTAAATACTGAGTTACTGAAATTAATTTTAGTGACTGATCATAAAGGACGTATTCACAAACTTGAATATATTATTTACTGGATTATTATCATCATTAAGACACCACGATCCTATTTGAATCTTGGTCTTCCTATTTTCCAGATTATACCCACCGAAATACTAGTAGCATACAAATAGTTTGCTACATTTTAGTATTCCAAATTAACATCAAACTCACTTGTTTGGGTTGTCTTTGTGGAAAAATATCCACAAAATACAATATAGCACAAATGTATTTACTAAGATTGTCGATTGACGCCATAAAATGTATCGAAAACCTACATCTATACATATGTATATTCATTATTGCTTTAAAAAGATAAAAACTATATTTTGAATTCCGGAAATTATTTGAAAGGCATTTACGTAATAAATTTATCGATACGGTCCTGTTGGGTAGCTAGTACTTTACGTACTATAAAAAGTTTAAATTGAATATTGCATATTATTTAGGTTAGGTTGGTAAGGTTATACCGGCGATCCCTAAGGGATGCATTTACGCTTATTGCCCCATTGTGTTACCGTATATATAGGAAAACTCAGAATTTAAAACCACCTAGAACCTTCGGCGAAGCTTAAAATGCTGTTTAGTGTCAGATCTTGTAATTGATCAAGATCCTCAAAAAAGGGCTCTCCTAAAGTGTTGAGTCGCCGCCGTGCATAAGCTGGGAAAGACAGAGTATATGAGAGGCATTCTCATCGTCTTCCTTACAGCTGCGACAGGTATGATTGAAATGGAGATTCAAGCTACTAGAATGGTTATCTAGTTTGCAGTAACCTATTAGTAAACCTACCATAAGACTGATATCTGATACAGAGCATCTCAATGAAAATATTGGGATGTCCTTTTCCTTTTAGTAAAAAGTGAACAAATCGCATACAGATGCTTGTATATCGTTTAGTCTTTCTATCTTTATTAAATATTTCAACACAGAAGAAGCTCAGCAACTTATTTAAATCTAATAAACAGCATATATAAAAGATAAAACATTTAAAAATTTAATTAGAAAACTTATTTATATTAACATAGTTGAAAGAACATAAACTTTAATTCATTAAATTTGAATTATAGTGACTTTTTTAGCCAGAGAAATATTTTCTACATAATTAAACACTTGTCAAGGGTATACAAAACGAACGATTAAATTAGACATTTTCAAAAAAAACTAAAAATAAATATACTATGATCCGATTATAGACCCAAAAAACATACTATTCAACATATCAAAATAATAAATGCAAATATTGCAGGTGTTGATACTGTCATAAGAAGAAATAGCTTGATGGATATCTTATCTTTTATAAGGATTTTTTTCGGCAAATTCTTTTTTTTTGTAAATGTGTAACTCTATTAATTCTAACAATGATATAAGATTACTTTTATTGCTGTAACCAAAGAAACACCAACTGAATTTATATTATGGAAGAAAACATCCAGTATATAATATTTCAAATCAATATATTTAACTTTCTTATGTGAAGAATAGAGTATAATAGAGTAATGATTAAACCTACATCAAATCGGTACACCTTAATTTTTATTAAAAACAATTTAAATTAAAACGTCCAACAAGAATTGTAAGAAAATTAGATCGAATATTATTTTTATATATAATATATGATTGCATAGATTAAACTAAAATCAAACTATTTAAACAGCTCGAAATTCCAGCACGCCTCTAAAAAGCTTTAGCTATAAAACAAATATAGAACGGTCCTGGACCATAGAAGACAGGGACAGAAAGAGGGAAAAAAAATTTTACTGTAACAAGACCATAAACTTAAATATCCACTTAAATGAAACGAAATACACAAATCAAATGGACTCAAATTCGAATGTGTGCAGAGACAATTGATGAGATAGAACTTGATCATCTGATCACTTCAGAACTTGATAGATTTATTAGTTATTAGTAACAATTAAATACTCTACTACATCTTGACTGAACAGCCAGTTTGAGACCGAAGGACAATTACTAGATTGTAATAGGTACTAGAAAAGCAATCTTGGGAGTGCTACTGTAGTGAAGTCATCCTTGCATTTCACTAATCAAATTTTCGGAGCATTCACTTTTTACTATAACTGTGGCTTCTCGGAGTAATCAGACATCCCCATTGTTGTTGTTACTGCTGCAACCCAAGCGGAAGGTATGTTAATCGAGAACATTAATGAATTAGCAAGCGTGGGTGTGGTGAACGGAGGTTGACTTACCACTTCAATACATGTACTTGTGGTTGTATGTTTGAAGGCGAAAAATATTATTCTTTGTTCTTCAATATAAAATGACTATAATAATATTATGACAAAAAGGGATTCACATTTATGAAATTCAGCAGACATTAGAAATTGAAATTATTTTCTTGTTATGTTATTATTTTTACATTAAGATTTAAATAGCTAATGGAGACACCAGGCGTAACTAACAATTTAATTGCTATCGCAATATACATATATGGTAACCTATGAAATAAAACTTATTTAATGATTAAAAACTAAAATAAAATTCTAAAAAAAAAGTATAAAAAAAAAGAAGAATGTTGCCAACATGCGCTGCAGCGCTACCGGTAATCCATTTTAAGGATCGCAATGGCAGTACGAGTTTAATTAAATTTGTAAAATTAAACCAGTAAATAAATCAGGCAATATGTTATGTCGCTCTAAGTTTTTGGTAAAACTATAATCGTCATATGTACATATACATATATATTTATATATATATGTAACAAAATAAATAAATAACACAACAAATCACATTGTATGTTGACTATTGCATAAACTGTAGTGCACGAATAAAAAATTTGTTAATAATATATAGTGCTGCTTGCTATTTACACTTCCCAACGTCTCACACCGCTTTCCACTTTGTGCAACAACCGTATAATAATACACGCATTTTATAGTGGCAGTTCATTACAGTTCAAGTTAACACACCACATGTTGCCCCGTCTGAAACCTCTAAAAACAAAAAAAAACACCGTAACAAATTCAAGTTCCCTCTTCCCCGTTTATGCACGTATGTAGTAAAACAACTATAAACAAATGACCAATAAAAGCATATCTTTAACTTACGTATACGCTCCAACACCACAAAGCCAACACAAACCAAGTTGGCGCTACCCCGCTTGGGTGCCTTAAGAAATTGACAATATTAAATAAGACTTTTTATCCACTAACATAAAATTACACAAACTTTTTCCAGTTTTTTAATTATTAATTATTTTGCATAATTATTGAACATTTCATATTTTTTTTATTTTAATTTTAATTTTATATTCAATAATTATAATAGTATGGGGCATCAAATCTATTTATTTATATTTTCTTATTGGAATTTTTTTTACTACACCAGTTTCTTTGCTCACCTCCTTCTTTGTTATTTTCCTTTAATCACTCAATTCCTTCAATACAAATTCCGTCAATTAAAACAACTTGCAGACATTTTTCCCAAATTTATATTAAATTTGTTAAATTTTTTTATTAGTTTTTAATTACACTGAGTCCTTTGCTAACATTTTTGATTTATATGCGAAATATCCGCCGTTTTGGTTAATTTTTGACTGAAAACAATTCAATTATTAAATCACTTAAGCTGAAGAAAGCGGAATGAAATGAAAATAATTGAAATGAAATGCAGTGTTGTAAAACGTTCATTTATAATATGAAATAAATATTAAGAGTAATATCTTACTTTGCGTCTACACTGGCTATACTTTACGCAAGATTTGGTAACTCATACATATATTAAAAGCTGAACTTTTACATTAGCCGTAATTTTTTCTTTTAGAATTGTAAAAAAACAACATAAAGTCTGGTTCAAACAAATTGGCAGCACTTTTAAGATACGTTCAATTCTTTTTTGACATATGTCTTTTATTGTGTTGTGTACAATACGACTCGCCTTTTTAGTCAGTCACAAATACTGTATACGAAGTGTGTACTGTCCACACACTTCGACCAGTATTCATTTTTTGCCATACTTGCTTGTCAACGAAAAGCCGTAAAGAAATTTTAAACTCTAAAAACAACTTATTTAATTAAGGACGTGTGCGAGTTAGGCTAAGTTGATGCTAAACCAAATGGGAAATTTTTTGGGATTTTTTGCACTGCACACATTTAGCCATTTATCAACACGTACCGACACATCACTACATTATCGGCACAACTTAGAATTTCCCTCATTTAGAACGCAACTTAGCCTAACTCGCACACGACCTAAATAAGAGAAAACGAAATGAATATTAAAAGGGCAAAAATTGTAAGCATTTTTATCTTATAGATTTAAATTAGTTTATTTATTAATGTATTTAAAATTACTAATAAATGAATTGCTCATATGATTTTGAAGGGTGACTGGAATTTTAAAACATATTTCCAGTGAACATTCACAATAGAATGATTTTTGAGACCCGAAGGTGTAAACATTGTAAGGCTATAATTTAAATAACAAACTATTAGTGTAAAACTTTGGTAATGAATATTCGTATTTCGGACCGGGAAGATACTTTATCGCCTTCAGGAAAAAGTCAATGTCGTTAATGCTAGTAATATCGTCCAGAACTTTGAAGAAGAGCGACCCCAAAGTATAGATGTACCTTACCACAAGTACTGGACAGTGAGAAAGCAGATAACTAATAATACTTTCTTTTTTTTCTGTAAACCCCAGCTGCGATAATAGGCATTATGAGTCCTTAATCGGTCGACACGGCACCCTCCGTGAGGGTATGTTCCGTCAGCATGGCGATTGTGTCGGGTATTGGATGACGAACACCACCACTCTGATAATTTTTTTCTTCTTTAACTAAAACTAATGGAATCACTACATCTAACTTACATATAACTTACAGACAATGCATTAGTACTGCAGTTACCAGGAATATCTTTGTTACCCATTGAATATATTGATATTGCATTTAAAAATGTACCACATTCCAATACAGGCTTCATACATACAGGTTACTGTTATTGAATGACATACCAGCAAAAGACATACTGGCCGATTGACTGTCACTAACAATGTAAATATTTCTGTCAAAAATTTTATTATGGCGAAACCATTTAGGCCGTGTGCGAGTTCGAGTAAATTGTTGGTAAATTGAGGGAAATAGTAAATTAAGTCGGTATGCCATAATGTTGGTATTTACCAGAATTTCGAGTAAGGTAAATTAGATATTAATTAGGTAAATTAGGTGTTACCATTGTGAAAATTTTATAAGATGTTTAATAAATAAATAAATAAATTTGAAAAATAAATAAACAAATTTTTTTTAATAAGTGCAGTTGAAAAAATCTCTAGAATATTTCAATTTACTCAAACTCGCACACAGTTTTAATTGTGATATATATTTTTATTCCATTCTGTTTTTCTGATCTTCAGCAACTTCTGCTGACGCTACAGCAATTTGCAATATATATATATATAGTTTTCAATGGTAGGTGGATTATGGGACTAAAATTTAGTATACAAAAGTATACCATGTCTGCCCTAGACCATTTGCAAAAGGGGCGAAGCCTAATTACACCAGCTTCTATCTGCTGTCAAATACGATCAGTTAGCATCGAATGCAGGGGAACAAATAATATTAAGTTGTGCATACGGTCATTGAGTCGTAGTTCTTCTGTCCGCAGTTACAATTGTTTTTCAGCTCAGTTGGACTTAAGTTTTGAATATATCACTTTCTGAAATAATTTAAGTTTTACGTAATACAGTTACAAGAGAGTACAAAATGATGTTTAAACTTATAGTATTCAAAACAGCTGTATGGCCAACCAAAAATTCAATTAATTAATAATAATACAAAAAAAATAATTTTTGTTGTTGTAGTTCACTGCTTTTCGAAGCCTCTTAATTTTTTATAATTATATAAAAATATTATTTTATAAATAAAATTCTAATTTTTTTGCGATATATAATTACCATAATATAAACACTTGTGGATTTATCGCTAATTAAGTTTGACATTTTTTAAGTGAATTTTCATTTTTTTTTTGTTTTGACTCACAAAATAAAAAAAACTCCCACTGGAGAGAATTGGTTACATTAGATGTGCAAGTAAAGTTAAGAAGGATATACACATTATAACGCAGAATGAAAAAATATTTTTATTATTACACATAATTACATTATTACAATTTATTGCAATACTGCAGGTTCTTTTATTATTTTATTAAATCTTGAAAGTTACACTCAGTAATCCATATAGTACCATAAAAAGTCATTATATTATTTGGCCCTAGTGTTTAGATAGACGAAGATGTGATACAAATTCTTAATTCCTATTGCTACAGCACCATAATTACCAATTTTTTTCACGTGGAGTTGAAGATATGAATGTGGTTTATATGTTGTTTTAATAAGACTGTTCCATAACCCGTCACAACACGCCCTGCTTATGATTTCCAAAAGGTATAACGTTACGTTTTAGTTTTGTAAATTGGCCATCAAAATTTTTCGATTTATCACCACTGGACTTTTCTTTGTGGGGTTACATAAAGTATCGTGTTTATGCGAAAAATTATCAAACATTTTACGAAGGTTTTTTGATCCTTCAAAATATTGCCAAGATATTGCCAACATGACATCCAATATTACCTTAAAAGAATCATGTACTGTATAATGCCACGTGGATAATATTTAAATGATGTGTTTTCATAAATCGAAAACTCAATCATAAATGTATTTTATTCAATTTTACCTTGCGAGCCATTTACTTTCAAAATGGGTAACCCATTTTCTTATATTTGTAAGTTTAAATAAACAATAAATGTGATATAACACACTGATTAAAATCGTCCTTTTTCTTTGTCCATTTTGTGTGTTTTTCCAGATTGTCCCTGAAAACTTTTTTTCCTTTTATGCTTTTGAATAAAATAATAAAGGCAAACTTTTATCACTTCAAATATATACTTTAATGTCATATACTGTGTTTAGATTATCGTACTTAACTCATCGAGCTTATCTCTATAAGTCTGTTAGGTTACGTTACTTTTGCCCCAAAATCTATGCAATTCATACACAATTGTTAATTTTGATTGGCCATTGTGTGAAACGTTCACGCTTGTATGGAAAACAAAAAACATAAACGTTAAATAAAATGATTTTGCTTTAACGCTACAGAAGAAACTACAAATGTTATGTTGTGTGGTTTCTCTAAAATAAATAAATTTTTATTGTATTTTTTGACCCATCAATAGCTAGTGCAAATTTCCACACTACCCCAGAGGTATTGCACGCAGTGCGTTAACTCAGTTATTTTAAATGGCTGGTTCCCCAGTAGGCATATCCACCATTATTTTATGCATACACGTATGTAGGATATATACTTATGATAAACATAAGATTTTTAATAATTCCATATATACGTATACTATATTTATGAGTTATTGCTTGAACTTCAACAAAAGATCTTATAAAGTTCAAAGTTAATAACTATTTATTTTATAATTAGATGAAATATGTTAGCTTCCCAAAGAACGCTAAAATATTATGAAAACAGCTCATGACTAAGCTTAGTAAAGTTTTCCAAAAAGTTTCGAGCTTATGTCAAAAAAAGGTAGAACCTTATTGACAAGCTATGCAGTCCAGCACATCTGATACTGAACAGAACTTTATGATGATTAACATTATATCAGGCACATACTGTGCAGAAGAGAAACTCATTTAAATTTCACATATATTCTTTATATTCTTTATAAAAAAATTCAGGTGTCTTTAAACGAGTATTGAAAAATTAACTTTGATTTTTTGCAAAACCAAAATTTTATTAATATATTTAATTTTGGTAAGACTACATTATTAATAATACTGAAACTAACATCTAAAATTATATTATTAAATTGCAAAACAGTTTTACATGTTTGCTCATTACCCTTTTGGACGAATTCGTGATGTCCCTTACGTCAACTGCAAATATTCCATTACGACACAATGTTGCGGTCCTAAAAGCATAAAAAATAAAAAATTATATATCACATTTACCACACAGTTTTGGAAGTGTCTAATTCATACCAGAAAATCGTGATAAATAATAACCGGGTAGCAAACTGGAGACCTATCAATGGGAGACCGATGGTAGTAAAAATATTCAAAGCAACACGAAAATGGATTCTTACAAATGCTTATGCCCCAGCAAAAGTACAGCAAGTTAATATTAAACATAAACTTTATGATCAACAACTTAATTAGATTAATAACAACGATATATAGTAAGAGAATTGATTATAGTACCAGAGAGATATATATGGATTTACAATAATACCAAAATCCGCAATATAAAGAGTTATGAGACAAAATAATATGAAGCAATAATTAGAATATAATTTGGAATTTGTTTTCAAGTTTGCATATAATCACAAATGCAACAACATCTTCAAACTTATTTAGAAATACTTTCCCCCATTCATGATTTTTCCTATAAACTGATCTCTTGTTATTAGAATCAACAAATCATTGAGTTGAGCAGCTGCGAGTCCCTGGGAATAAGTACACAAGACAATTTGTCTGATTGCATTTAAATTGGAAAATGTGAGCGCAATCTTTGTCACCCTCAATCCAAGTTGGCACACAGCCTCCACATGACATCCCTGGATAGTTAGTTGTCACACGGTGAGTGATGAACTAACAGTGCGTACAGCGAGTCCTATCCCCAGGACTTTAAGTTTGCGTTGTGCACAGAGTTTGGTACCCGTCTCGTAAAATCAGCCGCCAGTGAAGAACTTAAGGAAGCTTCGTAACTAAAGCACTGCTTCAAGACGAAACCCAACTACGGATTATTGTGGCCACTTAAATATGTAAGAAGAAATTTCAAATTTAATAACAAAACATTGGTTACGTTTATGATTTCCGAATTTTTAAAATTTAATCATTTTGGCACCTGTGTATTTGCCAAATCTGTATATGAAATATGTATATGTATTTATTATCTTTATTGTAATAAAATATGCGGCAGAAAAAAGAAACTTCATCGTTCAAAATGGAAGAAGAAATCGCAGCCGACAAAGACTACATGGCTATGATTAGACTAAGTTCTTACATTTGTATTTTTGAATATGTCAATAACAAATAATCGTTTAAAACAATTAAATTTAATACTAGTCAATTATGTTCCGTAGGGAACGAGAAATTCTTTAGGATTAGTCTTGATCCATAGTCTTTAGTAAACAGACGAGACCTTCTCTGGTGTTTCTCCATTTTACTTTTGAAATTTCATATAAAGGACAATTTGTATCGCTCCGTATGATTTAAGATTATTTTTAAATTGGTCCAAACGGAGTAGTTCAAAGTCATACAGAACCAGGCAATTAACGGTTAATGTAATATTTACTTCATTTCAGAATTAGCTTCACATAAAACGAACATACGCAAATTCTAAAAATAAAACCTATGTATCCTTAAAAATATAATCAAAATAAATTTAAAAATAAATTTAAATATTTGTTATACATATTTACAAAATGTTTGTCTCTAACCATGAGATCTTACATTTTATTCGTAGATTTAATAAAAAAATAACTGTATGTCCATTTACAGTTTAACATTTCTAACAGTTTGCTACATATATATTACCCTAAGTAATAATTTACGTTTTTACTTTTATATTTATATCAAATTAGTTTAAAAGTAGTACTAACCTTTAAACATTTATCATTATTTGCAAATGTTTAAAACTTAAAACCAAACTTTACTTTACACAAACTTCCTTACTACTTTTAACCCAAAATTTACTGCTCAAGAACAGTTCAATACACATAATTATCGGAACGAAGTATGTTCAGTTCACTTAACAATGATGCGTTCAGAAAGTGTAGAGTTTTTACTTATTTGGTAGTCAGTGCACAAACCACTGCCTTTTCATTCAGAATAAATCAAGCAATCATTTTAAAATTATTAGTAGGTGTATTCTTTACACATGAATACTCCAACAGAACACTAGTCGCTTAAAAATTAACATGCAAAGCAAAAACAAGAGTCCACTTTCTTGAAATTACTTTACAAATAAGCCTCTCGCACTATAAATCGTGCCAAAACTTAAAATTGATCTAATGTAAGTGATTAAAAAAAAAAATGTAAAACTCCAGTCAACTGTTTAATATTTACAGCTGTTGCAAGTGTTAATGAATAAATTTAAATATGTTAATTTTTTAATAAAATTTGTAAAATGACTGACAGATAAGTAATTTAAGTTAATTATTTATTAAAGCAATTTTTAATTTCTGTCTTCATTAAAAAATGTAATATATGAATAAATACAAAACACAATCGTTAAAATAAAAGCAAACAGTTATAATACAATTGCAAGAAATAATTCTGTAATTATTTTCATTTTCAATGTATATTAATTATTTATTTTTATACAATATGTAATTTGCTTGCATTATGTGCACATATGCAAGATTTGCTATTTGCCAAAACATAACACTTGACAGATTGCAGCAGTGATGCCAATGTCTCGCTCAGCGAATATAGGATAGCATGCATTTTTATGCCACACTTGCGAGCCACGGAAAACACATTAAAATATATAGAATTTTGAAATTTACTTTGTGTAAAATATATTATTTGAATCTTTACAATAATTTTTCAATTTTACAAAATATTAACTGCAGTGGTGTTTCTAATTTAAATCAAATATTTACTACATGCGAATAATTTGCAAGAATTACTCTCATCTGCAAAAATGGAAGTTGTACATTCACTGAAGTGGGGAAAATTAGTGTAAATGTGTAAATGTTGTACAGAATAGGAGAGACACGGATCCTAGGAGGCATACTGCAACAAAAGTCATATTATTTGAAAAAGATCTACCAATGTAAACACAAAATCTTAGAAATAGAAATAGTTTTGAATTATATTTATTAAATGTAGAGAAAAATTAAAATTTATTGGTTTTCAGAATAAGTCATCATGATTACAGAATCAAATGCTAATTTTATACCCAATGAAATCGTTTTAGTGTATTTATTTTTTCTGGAATTAAATCTCACATAGAATTTTATTTTATTTTTTATTATTATTATTATTTTTTTATTTTATTTTAGATTATTGAAATGTGAGACGATATCCTATCTATGAATATATTTTATAGGATTTACTTACTCAAGAAACCAGAGTAACTTGTCTATAAGAAAAGGGATTATTATTGGCGATATAGACTAACTTCGAAGTTTTTTAAACGTTTAGAAAATAACTTCATTGTAAGCAGCCGTTTATTATAGCTGCCTAGAATTTTTAATCGATTCTATATAACGTTTTTAATCTGCGTTTATTCATATCTTCAACACCAGAATTTTTTGTTGATTTTAAGATGTTTGATAATATATTGAATCACTCTGCATTCGTAACTATTAAAACTGTTGGCTGATGAGTTTCTTACTCCATTGTTGATGACAGGATCATTGAGATTAGCAGTGGCAATATGGTTGAAGGCAAAAAGTTTGTACTGCGTAATATTTATCTATTTGCCTCGTAATAAAATGCAATATTTAAAAAATGTTTAAATATTAAACGATGTTAATGTTAATTTATTATGAGTTTCAACATACAAATTTAAATCAATTGCACACCAAATTCTGTACGACGATTTATGTATGTATGTATGTACTATGAAAAATAGGTTGCTGATACGGGCTAACCGTGATCACGCATAAATCTAAAACATACATTGCAGTACCAAATTATACTACTTAAGGAAAGTTAGTGTCAGTATATATTGCAGTACACAGATTTGTATATCATTTGTAAATTTTAAAATAACTAAGTTTGCTTCAAATTAAACTTCAACGTTTCCGTACATCAGACTTAATAATGGATCGGAAAGTAGGCAACAATTATATCTTCGATAAATTCTAACCGTCTCTAGAATGTTTCAGCTACGTCAACTTTAAGTAAAAAAACAAATACAGAGCAACCAAATCAAAAGAGACGTCTTATATCCGTTTCTTATCATCCAAGATTAAGATTAATTGATTTTAAATTATGAACGTGAAATTTTGAAAATTTAGCAACATTTTAATCCAAATATATCACCACAAAAAATTTTAGTGATCGTAAATTAAATCTAAAAAAATTTAATGATAAAACCACAGAAAACAATTTAAATATATCATACCAAGGTACAGTGGTGAACTGTAAGTAATGTTTAATGGTGTTAAAAACTACAAAAATAAATAATGATTTTCCCCGCTGTATGGTACGCATTCTTATATGTGCATATATGTATGTATATCTCTCCACTCGTTTGTTTGATGCTTTTAACAATATATTTGGCGCAAATTTGACAGCGTCAAATATGAACGATAAATAAGGTTGCCATACAAAAGTCAAATCAATCATTTGAAAATTCTGTATATGAATGTACATAAATGATTATGAAAAATGGAATTATTTGCAATAATATTCGTTATAAACCCTTGAGAAATAACAGACTGTGTTAATAATGCAATAAAGTCGAATCTTGATATAAACTTCTGGGCATATTAGATTTCAATGACCCATTGCGTTTCATATTCACAACTTTTATCGCATACATAACACAAAATAAAGCAATGAAAATTCAAAATATAACTGACACAAAGCTGTCTAAAGTAGAATTATATAGTAATAGAATCATTATATGTGAACAACAAAGGACTTTTTTCTTAGTCAAGTATATAATAATAATAATATTAATGCTGAATTTTTCTAAAATTAATTTAATATACATACATATATAATATAAATATGTTTATATATTATCTATGTGTATATATTATATACATACACACATATATATATATATTTCAAAGTTCCACTTTATTAACGGGTGGCAAAATTGTGCCAAATTTAACAAAACAAAACTGTAATTTACAGCTATAATTTTGTTTTCTGTGATTAAATAATTTGCTTTCAACTTTATTTTTAATTTAAAAATGTGCGATCTCAACGATAATGAAAGTAATGAAAGATGTGAGGAAAAATCAAAATCAAAATCAAATCATTCTAAATGGCGTTCGAATACCAAAAAGGCAACGTCTGAGATATTTTACGAATATTGTTCAAATACCTCAATCCATGGAGTTCAATATTTTGGACAAAGACGTCCAATAACTGAACAAATATTTTGGATATTGGTTTTTCTGGTGTCCATTGTTTGTTGTTTTAGCTTAATCATGAGTGTTTATCATAAATGGAATGAAACACCAGTAATTGTTAGTTTTTCAGAAAAAACAACGCCCGTTTGGAATATACCTTTTCCAGCTATAACCATTTGTTCAGAAACAAAACGGATACTTAAGACTGAGGGTATGTTAAAATTTATATATTTACAACAAATCTTAAATAATTACTTAATTACCATTACTTAGGTATGACATATGCAAACTTTTACAACAATTTAACTTCAAGTATTAGAGCTGGAGAAAAATATACACCCACAAATATTACCAAAGACGAGCTAGATGAATTTCGTACTTTGCTACATATTTGTAACACTCAAATTATTGATAAAGGTATGCCTTTATTGTCGACCAGTAAAATCGATTATTATGATATATTAAATCAAATGCTACCAAGTTTTGAAAGATATTTTTTCTTTTGTAAATGGTTTAATCATTTTGGTACATGTGATACACTTTTTAAAAAAACCTATACAGAAGAGGGAATATGTTATACTTTCAATGGATTAAGTTCAAAAGATCTTTATCGTGAAGATACGTATCAGCATAATCATTTTGACTCCCATAATGCAATCGAATATTCGGAGTATTCGAATCGTACTCTTAGTTGGTCATTACAAAATGGTTACGATACCGACAGTGGTTTCAAAACATATCCAGCTAGAGTTTTAGGTGCAGGGGCAAGAGCTGGCATTTTTATTGCTTTACAAAGTTTTAAGCAAGAAACTGATTATTATTGCCGTGGTCCAATACAAGGATTTAAAGTTTTACTTCATTCACCTGATGATGTTCCACATGTATCAAAAGATTTTGTACGAATACCAACGGGTAAAGAAGTTTTAATTGCCGTAAAACCAAACATGATAACAACATCTATTGGAATAGATGATTATCATCCATTACGCCGCCAGTGTTTTCTTCATAACGAACGTCAATTAAGATTCTTTAAAATTTATACTCAGTCAAATTGTGAATTAGAATGCTTAGCAAATTTTACTCTGGAAAAATGTGGCTGTGTGAAGTTTTCTATGCCACGTTCTCTATACACACCTGTTTGTAATGAGGATAAAATATACTGTTATGATAGAGCAGAAAATGATTTACTTATGAGTGAGTTTACAGAAGGCTTAAAACACACTGCTTTTAATTTTCGTGGGCCCACAAAATGTAATTGTATGCCAGCGTGTACATCTTTAACTTACAATGCAGAAATATCCCAAGCAAATTTTGATTTGGAAGAAATGCTTGCTGCTGGAGGTGACACATCATTTTTGGAAGAATTTCCCGGATCACAAATGTCGCGTTTATCTATTTATTTTAAAGAAAGTCAGTTTATAACTTCAAAACGCTCTGAGTTGTACGGTATTACAGATTTTTTAGCTAATTGTGGTGGTATATTTGGACTCTTTATGGGGTTTTCCATTTTAAGTATGGTTGAAATTTTTTATCATGCCACTTTGAGATTAATTTCAAACATTATACGTTTAGCTAAAAATAGAAATAGAAATTAATATGCAAATAATATTTAATAAGTCAAAAGATATATAAGATAAATATTTATTTTTGTGATATCAATTAAATTTTCCATTTTAAGTATGTTTAAAATATTTTATCATGCTACTTTAAGATTGATTTTAAACATTAAATGCTTAGCGAAAAATATAAATTAATATGTAAATATTATTTAATAAGTTAACAGATATTTAGAATTAATTTTTACTGAATTATTTATTTTTGTGATATTAATTAATTATATATTTAGAAAGAAAGCCATTAAAATTTATAAAATTATTTCAAAAATATATACTGTATAAATGATTTTAGAAAATAAATTTTTTAAATACTACATTTCTTTCCTAATTTATATGTAAATATTATATAATAAGTTAACAGATATTAAGGATTGATTTTTACTCAAATTATTTCATTTTGTGATATTAATTAATTCTATATTTAGAATCAAAAAATTGTAATTTATAAAATTGTTTTTAATATATATACTATATGAAATATTTTAGAAAATAAATTTCAAAATAATTAATTTCTTTTCTAATTTATATGTTAGCTATACACCTTTCTTTTAAATAAAATAAGTTGCTGTATTATTATGTTGCATACATTAATTTCCTCGTACACCTAACACTCATCTGCAGAGAACGTTGAGATCTTTTGTTATAAGGTGTATTCGGCAGCTACTTTAAGTCGCTAATTTGTACACAAAACAACATCACAACCCCCTCCATCTAACAGAGTAAGTATAAAGTGTGTAAACATGGAAGAGACTGTTACCAAAGCGATATTGTGGACCTTCATTGGAAATTTCAATAAATATTCCAGTAATATGTGAAATGTTTGTGAACAAAAATTCAAACAAAATTAAAAAGTTTCGCAATTTTGTCAATTGTCTACAATTGTCTAATGTAATACAGTGGACGTCCAATATAACGAATTTTATGTTGCACCCCTTGTTCGTTATATCGAAAAATTCGTAATATCGAATGTTATACATTTACCTACCAATATGGTTATTTTTAGGAGATTTCATATATTTGAGTTCATAAATTAACTTATAAACACGTACGAGTATATATTTATTTAAAAGTATTTTTTATTCGGTTGTTACAAAAATTATTTATAAGAAAGGACGCATTCAATCATAGTGTAGAGTAAAAAAAATCATTAATTTTTGTTGGTTTTTTACTACACTCAAGACTTTTCTGAACAGCTTTTTCTTGTAGTTCTCTTAGTACAGCTAATTTTGAAGTTTCATTATTGTTAATCGCCCACTTTATGCATTTTTCGAAATGATTTATGGCATCTTTATGTTTAATAATTTCTAAATTATTTTCTTCTATATTTTCGTCATCAGATCCATCATCCTCGTCCGAGACATCGATGGTATTATCAGCATTATTCCATTTATTAACTTCGTATGTACTAATGTCACACTAACAATAAAATTGAAAATATAATATAGGATATTTAAGCATAATATTCTTTCTTACATTAGGAAAAACATTTTGAAGTAATGTAATGGTTGTTTCAGTTACATTATCATTCGTTCGTGGTATAAGCTGAACCAAAGGTATATCGTCCTCTTCATCGAACTCAATAGAATTAAATGACAAAATATTAGCCCAACACTTACATGCATATTCTAAGCTGAATAATGCTAGTTTTATAGTAAAATTATATTCAAAAGCATAATTTGTATAAAACAAAAACGAATAAGAAACAAAAAATTTTTTGTTCGTAATATGGAGCAGAATTTTTTTTTCGTTCGTTATATAGAACAATCAATGTAAATATTTTGGGTGTTCGTTATATCGAAAATTCGTAATATCGAGCGTTCGTTATACTGGACGACCACTGTATTTTAAAAATATTGAAAATTGTGAAAAATAAATATTTTAAAGACATACAAAAAGTTTAAATATACATAAAAAAAGTTTATTTAAAAAGCAATTCGAAATTTTTAACTTATTAGTTGCTAACAAGTTTACAATTATTAATGCATAAATATTCTAAGCTATCATTAATTTTGTTGGAAAAAGAAATTTATAAATTCCTGCATTCTTAACATTGCTTTTAATTTATCATTCATTTTAATTTTCAATTCTATATTTGTACGTTCACACTGTCTCATTTAAACACTTGATGATATATATTAATGAATAAACTTTCACATTATAATGAGCGCATTTATGCACTTGATAGACCTTTATATTTCAAAACAAGCTATTAAAGAACTTTCTTTTGTTAACAAATGCAATACAAATAAAAATTTTGGTATTGTGTGGAATAAATATTTTAAAATGGAAAACCTGGAAAATTTCAAAAATATTTTATATAATGCGTGTGAAATGATCAAGAATAGAAACAAAGCAATATTTGAATGCCGTAAGATAATTGAAATAAGGAAAAAGCAAATAACAATACTTTTGACAATAATTGCTAGGAAACTGAGGAAGTACTGAACTTTAATTAGTACGGTCAGTAAACATTATTAAATAAAATTTAAAATTAACATTTGTTTTTTCAGAAAAGGTACATGGGAAAATTGCCCAGAAATCTTTTTAACATGTGGAAGAAGTTTCAGTCGAATAATGCGCCTCCCGAAACTCTAACACACTGCTGTTCTTTCCTAATTTAAAAAAACCAAACAATTAAATTAAAGTGATTTATATCAACATAATAAAAAAAAATTAATAAAATTACAGTATTCAACCTGTTTTTATTGTATAAAATTAAAATGTACATATTTAAAAAAAACAGGTTCAATGCATAATTTTTCAAATCACGAATATCATAAAAAATATATGTGTTCCGTCGAGCACCCCGGAATTGTGAATCTTTCTTCTCATAATTTCTCTCACCATTTTCCCACCATACTTTTCAGTATCTCTTGCCTTTTTGTTTCTGAAATTAAAAAAAGATTTAATTTAATTACAAATCAATTTTTCAGATATTTATTGCATTTATGCCATTGACTTTTTGAATTTATCTGAAATAAATAAACTTCACTTAATAATATATCACTTGAATAATATAAATTCAATTAATAACATATAAAAAAATTTAATATATAATTTATAGAATAAATAATTTATATACATTTTATAATTCAAATGTATATGTATCAAATATATAAAAATATTAAATGCTTACTTTCTCAATGCTTTTGTTTACAGCTTCTATTAAGACCGTGTGCGAGTTCGAGTAAATTGATGGTAAATTGAGGAAAATAGTAAATTATGTCGGTATGACAGCGAATGTTCGTATTTACCAGAATTTCGAGTAGCGTGAATTAGATAAAAATTAGGTAAATTAGGTGTTACTATTGTGAAAATTTTATAAGATGTTTAATAAATAAATAAATAAATTTGAAAACTCTTAATCAAAAATAATAAATAACTGCAATAAATAAATTAATAAATATTAAAGGAATTTCAATTTACTTTACCTCAATTAACTCGAATTCGCACACGAGCTAATTCACATTTTACATATAAAGCGCATGTAATATTGAAATATTGTGATGATATTTATATATTGTATTTTTCGAGTATATTTTCCATACTATGAAATTTGAAATATTTGTAAAATGTGAAATTTACTGAATTTAGAAGCATGAATTTGACTTTCAATTTCACAATATTCTAGCTTTGTGTTCTTTATTGCCTTAATTAATTCTGTATCAGGAGTATTTGCATGGTACCGATTCAAGATTAATCTAAAAGAAAAATTATTTTAAAAATCTATATTTGTTGTCTTTTTTTGTATAATTTGAAAAATACGTGTTAAAGACCTAATATTTATATACCAATAGAAAGACTTCAAAATTTTATACATAGGTCGTGTGCGAGTTAGGCTAAGTTGATGCTAAACCAAATGGGAGATTTTTTGGGATTTTTTGCACTGCACACATTTTGCCATTTATCAACACGTACCGACACATCAATACATTATCGACACAACTTAGAATTTCCCTCATGCAACTTAGCCTAACACGCACATGACCATAATATGCATTTTTGTTCAGTTTATCTCATTTTTTTAAAAAATAAATTTTTCAATATATGTTTATAAATAACAATCCAGGTTTCCATAATAACTGCTGATTGCTCATCAATGTATTAAAAATGCAACGATTTTCAAAGTGAAAACCCGAAACGATAATGTAAATGCTAAATCAATTTTAGCAAAGTTCGTTGACTAAAGTTCGTAATGTAAACATAGGTCGTGTGCGAGTTAGGCTAAGTTGCATTCTAAATGAGGGAAATTCTAACTTGTGCCGGTAATGTAGTGATATGTCGATACGTGTTGATAAATGGCTAAATGTGTGCAGTGCAAAAATCCCAAAAAATTTTCCATTTGGTTTAGCATCAACTTAGCCTAACTCGCACAAGTCCATAGTATTAAAATAGTAGAAAGTTTGACTGCAAATTTTCAATGGTGATCTGACATAAATATATTTTTTATGCACAACGCAGTAGCAGTAAACCTCAAAATCAAAGGTAAACTAAAAAGCGCTTGCTCCTATTTTTATTGTTGTGTTAAAATAGGTATCTTCTGTTTATAAAATAAATAACAAACGCTATTACGTGTCATCATAATGCATTTTTCGATTTTATTTTATGGTATGTAGTGGTGTTGGGTGGCATCACTTGTTTCAAAGAATAGATGCTAATACGCCAATAATCGCGATTTCTGTTCTTCTGTCATTCTTTTATATCCCCGAAGTTCCATAGTGTGGTTGCTGGCCCTGTAAGTGTGGCATAATTTTTTAAATTGAACGAATATTAATTTTGCGACAATTATTATAATAATTATCGCATTTATTAGGCAAAAATTTCTAAGTGAAAAAGTGGTAAAATATGGCTGCAGACCAAGCGCAATTTCAACAACTACTTAGCTCGTTGCTATCAACCGATAATGATGTCCGCCAACAAGCAGAGGTAAGGAATATATAAATATAAAAATCAAAGGTGAGCCGTATACAAGCTTAAAAATTCCAATAAAGAATAAAGCAAT